TTAACACATGTAAACATTAGTGTACTGCTGTGAATCTAGTAGCAGACCCTTAACAGAATGGCTGTGTGACCTTTTATAAATTTGTGAGAAATTTTTTATTTATTTCTATTAATATAATTTAAAATTGCTTTCTGACAGTTACAAACATTATAATATGCATACTGATTAATCTTACCCCTCACATTCACTTGCTTAATGTGTACCTATCCACTTCATATAAATCTCTTTCCCATACTCATTTTTATTTGTTTTTGCGTGTGACTCTAAGAGTTTAACCAGGGTTGTCCGTGTGACTATGGTTTTGGAACTATCCACTGGAGTCTGGTGGTCTCAACAGTGGACACATAACTAAAAACAATGACAATTTCTCTACCAGAATATATCAATAGCCAATAGTTCAGCAATAAACCGTTGGGTCTCATGAAACACCCCCCATCTGTCATTGATTACTGACAAGTCCAGTCTTCTCAATAATTAATTAGTGAAAGTAATTGTGGCTTCTTTGGGTGAGTTTATAATACCAAAGATTGTCTTTGACTTACAGAATAAATATTAAACCCTTTCTCCCTATCTTCTAGCTCTCACATTTTTCCTGCCCTTCCTTTTCAATGGGCTCTGAGACTCACAGGGAATCTTATAAATGCCTTCCTTAGTGCCGGGCTATCAATCATTATGGGTTATCAGCATCTTGGGCAACCATGAGACTGTCCATTCACTATCAATGGATGCAGAGATATTTCTCTAATTAATGCTGAGAAAGAACCTTTTGTCCATAGGTATAAACATAGTTATTTATAAGATATTTTGATAGTATGTCAAATCATTTTGTCAGCAGCAAGGGTAAGTTCCTCCATCCCACCTGTGACCTTCCCAGCCATTTGTGGTTAAATGGGTTTACAATATCAGGCATGGAGCTTTTAGTCTGTAGTATGTCTCTAATATAAGTGAAGGAAATAAATACTCATTACACTGCTACACTGGTGAACATATCTTTCTGACAAGTGGGTTTTGTAGTTTATTTTGTTCACAGGTAGGAAAGACTATTGATAACCAACACCAGCACGACGAGCATCCCAGTAACATCTATAGCTCCTTATGGCACTTTGAAATCTCAGCATAGAAATGTAGCATCCAGCTCGGTTCCAGTTAAACTTTCTCTATAGCTTTTGACCATGGAATATGCTGTCTTCAGCTATATAGTCTTATTCACTGTTTCTGATGGCCAGCCAAGAGGACTAACACGAGTTTGTAATGCTTGGGGGAACCTCTCTCTCAAAACAGGTCGACAGCATGTCTGATAATAATACCCGAGATTGTCCACCCACCCATGGTGCACACCCACAAAAGCAAACAGCACATAGTGATGTATGCATGCATGTGTGCATTAAAATATACAGGCAACCCATAACAGAGGAGAACAGAGCTTTTTAACAGTTGGCAATGACAAACTGAGTTATCAAATTGTAATAGATTACAAAATATTTTACTAGATCCTTATCCCTCATGCTAGGCAATGGGCAACTTAGAATGGTGTAGACTCCACTGAAGCCTCAACTCATTTCTTTGCTCCTAAGTGAATTTGTTTTGAATTTTTAGATGTGTGACTTTAGCATGGAATGCCCGTAAAGACCAGGGAAATAGACAGGGAAAAATGATGTGGAAAGGCTTTAAAAGACAGGAGATGGTAGAACACATAATATGTAAAAGTGGAGAGATAGATTATTGTAGTGGAAATGTCTTAGGAAATATAAGAGTGAGGGAACAGTGATGAGGGGAGGGTTAATCAAAACTGATGATGTATTAAAAGCCATTTGGAGACCTACTATTTCGTAAGGTAGGCGACAAATATAAGAGAAGGCTCTGAATGGAAGTACCCTGCATGGATAGTTCAGCTCCCAGAAGCTATAGACAACTAAACAAAATTCCTACTACCAGGTATGTTATATCATCCTATGAGAAGCCCACAGGTCTCCAAAGCAATGAAAACTATTAGCATTTATTTTGATTGCAAAACAGGACCCAGTTAGTAAACCCTACAGCTGAAGACATCATATGATCTAGTTAGGACATACAGAAAAGATGCCAGTGCTGGACTGAGTGTTTGCTTCCTGCTAGTTAGCCGCACAGTACCAGCAGAGTGATTCAAGCTGCCAGGGAGGAAAAATCATCAATAGTCTCATCCAGCTGCAAACCTTGCAAGCTGTAATAACAGCATGTCAGGAAAGGTATGATCATTGGCGCAATGGTGGCATGAGTATTATGGAAGTAACCAACCAGCTTGTGACTGGGTGAATGTCCTTTCAAAAGAAGAAATTCATGTTTGACAGAAAAGGTAATTCTTCTCCAAAAGCCATGAATGGGGAGTTCATAGGTCCTAGGACACAAACTACACCACATGTCTCCAGTAGCATATACTCAGTGAGGACAGATGGTCACCCACATCTCCCCAGAAGCAGACAGTGAGGACATAGAAGCACCCACATCTTCGCTGATGCCAGCTTATTTCTTTTCTTTTTCAGGCTACAAAGTAAAAGTCTTTATTTTGTTTTTAAAAATAATGGAAAAAGAATATAAAATATTCACAATAAATGTTAGATTAGAAAATCTGGTTATATTGGCAACGAAACTTTGTGGATTTCTTTGTTTTGGGTTTTTAATGAAAGCCAGATTATTTATAAAATGCTGTTTCATTTATTCTCATCATCTCTGGTTTTACTCTGCTATCAAACACAATTGTTCCAGACACCCTGATATCAAACCATCTTTAATGTGATCTGATCTGATACAAAGGTACAGGAACTTTTACAGAGATTGGCACCTACCTGGAACAGTTAGGAATTAGGCTTTTTTGGGCAAACAGAGAGAGAACAAAGTGTTGAGTCCATCATTGTGAATACAGCACTCTCATGCCCAGAGACATTAATAACTCTAAGTACAGATAAAAGAACAAAGTTCTAAAAACAACTTATTATTGACTTTCCCTTAGAGACAAGTATGACTAAAGGACCAGATGACAATCAGACTTACATCAAAGCAGTTGGGATGGACACTTGAGTTATGGATACGTGTTCAAATAAGCTATGTCCAAATAAGAAATTAATGTTTTCAAATGATTCAGAGCATTAGCTGAGAATTTCCTTCTTCATCAACAAACATTAAATACGCAAATAGTAAACAAAGAGGTAATGTCTTTCTGATTGGCCCACACATTGGAGGCCCATGGAATAAAAAGCCCTGACTGGAACATCTTGCTACACTGTTCAAAACTCACCTGTGAACACAGTATCAGCCTCCATACCTGATACCATGGCCCTCTCCATATGCCCACCTTGCTGTCAGCCTGGCTGCTGCAAGACCATCTACTGCTGGACCACCTGCTGCCCACCCTGCTGCCCTGATTCCGGCTGCCCTGAGTCCATCTGCTGCCAGCCATGCTGTCCTCCAAGTTGCAGCACACCCTGCTGCCAGTCCAGCAACAGCAGCAACAAAACTGTCAACACTTGCTCCAGAGGCCTCCAACCCACCAACCTGCTGTGAAAGCACCTGCTGCAAGACCAGCAGTTCCAAGCCAACTGGTGTGAGCATCTGCTGCAGCACACCTTGTTGCCAGCCCTGCTGCTGTGAGCCCACCTGCTGCCAGCCATGCTGCCAACCCTGCTCCTTAAAGATCAGCTGTCACCCACCTTGCTGTGAAACCAGCAGCTGCAAGACTACCACTAGCAAATCAAACTGTGTGAGCATTAGTTGCAGCACACCCTGCTGCCAGCCCTGCTGCTGTGTGCCCTCCTGCTGCCAGCCATGCTTCTTCCAGCTGTGCTGCCAACCAACTTGCTGTGAAGCCAGCAGCTGCAAGACCACCTCTTTCAAACCAGCCTGTGTGACCCTCAGCTGCTGCAATCCCTGCTGCCAGTCCTGCTGCTGATGAACACAAGGAGCATCTGCACAGCCATGCTCTGTGGAGAGCTGACCTGCCCTAGCTGCAGAAACCCACACCTTAACCTTTGCTGAACACCTTCAGATTCTCCCCAGGAGACCTGACAAATGCAAATTCTTACTTAGGTGTGGGAAATGCTTTGAGAAAGGATGGAGTCCCTCTCCCTCACTCTCCTCATCCCCAGTGATTATGGATCTTGTGCCATCTTCATGAGGGGCTGGTGTGAAGGTCTGGTATCAGTTTAGGATCTGAGCCTAGATCTTCATATCTCTCATGAAATAACTTATGAAAACACTTCCCCCAAAATTAAACTTCTTTTAACCAGTTATCTTCTCAACTATCTTTTCTTCTGATTTACACACAGATTTTTGTGTACTACCACCTTCTTTCTGCTATTTATGTGTTGTGCCCGAAAACAAGTAATTAAATAAACTCTGTGCCATCATCATTCCACAGTGTCTGTCATATTATATTGATAAATCACTTAGTGAAAAATCTACACAATCAATTAAATTTTAAATACTAAACTTTGTGCCCTGTATCCGTTACTGTAAGAATGGTACTAAACAGTATATCCAAGCAAGGTTTATATCTGAAATAATTGAAATGGATTACCTGATGATAGGCATCTTCCTAGTTCCTCCAATCCCAGTTTCCATAAACCAAGAGTCTCCTCTTTTCCATTTGTTATGGACTTGTATAAACAACATTTGGATGAAATCACATGTGCCAATGACATTTCTGTCATATTTTCTTTATCTGTTTACTTGTCAATGGGCATCTAAGTTTTAGCCACAGCTTATCAATTGTTAATGGCATTAGCATAAAACTGGGAGTGTCCATATCACTTAAGAATTCTGATGACAACAGTGCCATTTGCTAGAAAACAGCTGCATATGAGATTGTACTAGTGAGTGAAATAAAGAAACTCAAAAGACAAACTATCAACCATGTGCTCTCATTTGTAAACCCAATTTTACACAGATACTACAAATCTTATAGATGGTGAGAAAGAGAGTGACTAGTCAGAGGATGGTCTATGGCAGAGCAATTATCATCAGAGTACATGAGTATATGATATACTTGAAGGGAATTTAAGATTTCCTAACTACGTTCAATAATGGGAACTATTAAAAATAAAAATTTAAAGTAATATCAGATTCTGATGTCAATTAACTTGAGCAAATATCCTGAGACATGTCTGCTGAGTCATAAAGTAGCTTTTATTTATTTTTGAGGTGTCTTTGTAATGTTCAGCACACTTGCTATTCTAATTCATATTCGCCCTGCTGTGTGAGAGTCCCAGTCTAGGCTAGAGAGATGGTTTCATGTTAAGACCACACAATGATCTTGAGTGGCACCTCGTTCAGGTATCAGCATCTACAGAGCACTTCACAACCACCTGTTATTCTAGTCCCAAGGAATCCAATATCCTCTTCTGACATCCCTTGGCATATGGTATACCTACATACATGCAGGTAAGAACATGAATACACACAAAAATAATAAATAAATCATTTTAATTTTTAAAATTTTAAGGATGATAATTTCTCCACATGATTGTCAATAGCTTTTGGTCTCTTCTTTTTCTGATACAGACAGAAAACATTCCAACTTTTTACACACTCAAATAATATGTCAGTGTTTGTAAATTTATCATACCCTCATGACAAAATAAAGGACACAGGGAAGGAATACTGTTGCTCTCCTACACTGTCCTTGGAAAGACATGGTATATGTATCTCTCTGGACTCAAAACTTCTATGCTTAACCTTGCAATTCTCTTAAGAAAACGAACAATCCTTCACATCAACTTCACCAGGGCCTAATCTCCGGATCACTGAGTTATGCCTTTTCGAATGTTGTCTTTGCATGAAATGGCTTTGTAGCTATTATTCTCCTTAAAAGCCACACAACAGCAAAAAACAACAACAAACAGAATATTTATAGCCCTGGCTGTCCTGGAACTTTCTCTCTGTAAACCACAATGGCCTTGAACTTATAGAGGTCTGCCAGCCTCTGCCTCCCAAGTACTGCGATTAAAGATGTTGTGGTTCACAGTAGGATTATTGTACTACTTTTAAGTTGTACCCTCCAAAGGAATTCTGAACTCTAGATTTCTCACTTGGGCACTTCTTTTGTCATTTTCACAGCAAGAGTTGTGGCTTAGTACGAAATGTTCTGCCATTTAAAATTTGTTCAAATCCTGCAAATGCCTTTAACTTGAACTCAGAATTCAGTTTCATACATGACATTTCTCTAGACAGCCATGAAGACATCCAGGAACATGGATATTCTTAGGAAACAGGATACAGTAGGAAGCTGAATAAAAAGACTCTAAAAGACACTATGCTGTCCTGAACTCCACCCCAAGATTCATTACCATTCATTAATACCTTCCTAGTGAATTCCTGCCTGAAGGTGTCATCTCCTGCCAGGGAGCTTTCAACTCAGATGAAAGCTACATCAGAGGAGAGATAAAGGAATAGGAAATCCTCCAAAACTGGGTTCCTACCCTGAAGAGTTCAAGGAAGATGTTCCCACTCATTTTCTAAAATCCTCCTCTCTCTCTCTCCTGACTCAGAGAAGATCTTCGCATCCTATATTTATGTAAAAACTTGCTTGTCCAGTCCCTTCCCCTTCTGGTTCTCTGAACAACACTGAGGTCCAAGGCTCAGTGGTATATCAGCTTTTTCCATGATTCCCAGAGGGATAAGAAACAGTAGTTTGGAGTCAATGAATAGAATCCTTTAATTTTATTCCTTTGCTTTCAAGTCACTTATGAGTTTATCTGCCATGTAAATCAAAAATTTATGCATGTAAAAATGTATGAATGTATTGTGTACATCATATGAGTGCAGTGCCCACAGAGGCCATAAGAAGGCATCTGATTCCCTAGAAGCAGAGTTACACACAGTTGTGAGCCACTCACTATATGGTCGCTGAGAACTGAATTTTGGCTCCTGGAAAGAGCATCCAGTGCTCTTAATAACTGAACCATCTCTCCAGCCACCAAAGAATATTCTTTAGCAACTCAGAGATTCATCTATGATGCCTTTGTGAGTCTGAATGTCTGTCAGTGGAATAGCAAGCTGTATTCCCAAACACCTGGGAATAGGCCTCTTTGTGTGGTTGAGATCTGGTGATAATCTGGTAGCTTCAGCTTGACTATATTAGTTAGCAAGCACGCTTCTCTTGATTTCCTTCAGTGAATTTAGGTGGAGCATCCTTTTAAACCTTGAAACATCTATAAATGAAAAGAGACAAAAGGCAGAATGCCACAACATGTAAGTGCTCAAAAGAAAAATCAAAACATGCAAAACATTAGTGTGCTGCTGTGAATCTAGGCACAGACCCTTAACAGAATAGCTCTGTTGCTTGTTTTATTTTTTGTGAGACATTTTTTCAATTGCTATTATTGATATTAATTAAATTGTTCTCTGGCAGTTACAAATATGTATAATATGCACACTGATTAGTCTCACCCCTGACATTCCCTTGTTTCACTAAAACCAATGTCTACCTATCCCCTTCATCAAAATCTCTTTTCCACACTCATTTTTATTTGTTTTCATGTGTGACTCTAAGAGTTTAACCAGGGCTGTCCATGTGACCATGGATTTGGAGTTAGGCACTGGAGCCTGGTGGGCTCAACAATGGACACATAACTAAAAACAATGGCAATTCCTCTCCCAGAATTTATCAATAGCTATAGTTCAGCAATAAAGCCTTGGGTATCATGAGCCTCTCCTACATCCATCATTGATTATTCATTATTAATTATAGCTTCTCTGAGTGATTTATAAAACAATGGATATCTTGGGACTTACACAGTAAGTTTTATAGTATTTCTCCCTATCTTCTAGCTCTTACATTTATTCCTGCCCTTATTTTTCAATGTGCTCTGAACCTTACAATTGGTTGTATAAATGCCTCCCTTAGTGCTGGGCTTATCGATCATTATGTATTATCAGCATTTGGGCAGTCAAAGGACTGTGCATTCAATTCTAATGGCTGGAGAGAGGCTTGTCTGATGAAGGCTGAGAGAGAAGCTTTGGTATAAACATAGACACATACATAGTTAATTAAGAGATGTTTTGATAGTATTTAAATAATTTAAACAACATCAAGTGTAAGTTCCTCCATCCTACTGTGACCTTCCCAGACATGCTTGGTTGAATGTATTTAATACACCTGGCATGGAGACTTTACTCTGTAGTATGTATCTAAACTAAATAAAAGATACAAATACAAATTTCAGTGCTACACGGATGGAGAAATCTTGCCTGACAAATGGGTTTTCTAGTTTGTTTTGTTCACAGGTAAGAAAGGCTGTTGATAACCAACACTGCCACCACCAGCACCCCAGTAACATTATGGCATTTCAAAATCTCAGCATAGAGACAAAGTTTCTAGCTCAGTTCCAGATAGATTTTTCTATAGTTTTTGACCATGGTGTGAGCTTTCTTCAGCGATATGGTCTTATTCTGTGTCTGATGGCCAGCCAAGAGTGCTAACAAGAGTTTGTGCTTATTGGGGGAAACTCTGCCTCAAAAAAGGTCGATGGCCAAGTGGTGGTGTCACACCCCTTTAATCCCAGCAGGAGGCAGAGGCAGGTGGATCTCTGTGAGTTCGAGACCAGCCTGGTCTACAGAGTGAGTTCCAGGACAGCCTCCAAAGCACAAGAAATCTTGTCTCAAAAAACAAAATCACAAAAAAAGAGGTCGATTACATGTCTGATACAGATACACAAGATTGTCCTTCAACCTCTGGTGCACACACAGACACAAACACACACACATTGACGTATGCATGCACGTGTGCATTAAAATATACAGGTAACAGATAGCAGAGGAGAACAGAGCCCCTTTTACATTTGGCACTGAGAAACTGAGATATCTAATTGCACCACCCTGCACAAGATTATACTACATAATTAACCCTCATGCTAGGCAGATGCCAACTTAGAATGAAGCAGACTCCATTCAGGCCTCAAATAATTTCTTTTCTTCTAAGTGAATTTGTTTTTAATTCTTAGATTTGTGGCTTTAGATGGGAATGACTGTAGAAATCAGAGCAATAGAGAAGGAACAATGATGTAGAAGGTCCTTAAAAGACAGGGCACGGTAGAAAACATGCTATGTAAAAATCCAGAGGTAGACTATTATGGTGGAATTGTCTTAGGGGAGATTGGAGTAGGAGCATGGAGAAATGAACAGTGATGATGATCAAAACTGATAATGTGCTAAAAGCATTTTGGAGACCTATTATTTTGTAAGGTAGGTGACAAATGTAATAAGGAGGCTCTGAACGTAGTACCCTGCATGGATAGTTCAGCTCCCAGAAGCTATAGAAAACTAAACTAAAATCCTAGTGCCACGATGGATACTATCCTATGAGAAGCCCACAGGTCTCCAAAACAATGCAAACTATTAGCATTTCTTCTGATTGAAAAACCAGACCCAGTTAGTAAGACCCTACAGGTGAAGACAGCATGTGATCTGGTTACATGACTTAGAGGTAAAAGACGCCAGTGCTGAACTGAGTGTTTGCTTCCTGCTAGTTAGCTACAGTGTGCCAGCAGGGTGATTCAAGCTGCCAGGAAAGAAAAATCATCAACAGTCTTATCCAGCTCCCAATATAGAAGGCTGCAATATCAACATGTCACGAAATATGTAATCATTGGTGCAATAGTTTCATGACTATTTTGGTAGTTACCAAAAATTTTTAATCGGGTGAATGTCCTTTCAAATGAAGAAATTCGTGCTTGATAGAAACTGCAATTCTTGTCCAAAGGCCATAACTGGGATCTCATAGGTCATAGGAACAAACTACACCTACATGTCCCCTGGAGCATATACTCAATCAGGACAGATGGTCACCCACATCTCCTCAGAAGCAGACAGTAAGCACACAGGTTCACCCACATCCCTGCTGATGCCAGCTTATTTCTAAGGTGCAGTTGCATTTATTCTCATCATCTCTGGTTTTACTCTGCTATCAAACACATTGTTCCAGACACCCTGACATCAAACCATTTTTAATGTGCTCTGATACAAAGGTGAAGGAATTTTGACAGAGATTGGCACCCGCCAGGAACAGTTTGAAATTAGGGTTTTTAAACCAACAGGGAACAAGGTGTTGAGTCCATCATTGTAGATATGGTACACTCATGCCCAGAGATATTTATAACTCTAAATACAAATAACACAACAAAGTTGTAAGAAAAACTTATTATTGAGTTTCCCATAGAAGCAAGTAAGACCAAAGACAAGATGACAATCAGACTTACATCAAAGCTGATGGGATGAGTTATGGAAAGAGTTCAAGTAAGCTATGCCAAAATAAGAAATGAATGCTTACAAATGATTCAGAGCATTAGCTGAGAATTTCCTTCTTCATCAACATACACTAAATATGCAAATAGTAAACAAAGAGGTAATGTCTTTCTGATTGGCCCACACATTGGAGGCCCATGGTTTAAAAGGCCCTGACTAGAAGATCTTGCTACACTGTTGAAAACTCACCTGTGAACTCACTATCAGCCTCCACACCTGATACAATGACTCTCTCCTGCTGCCCACCTTGCTGTCAGCCTGGCTGCTGCAAGACCATCTACTGCTGGACCACGTGCTGCCCACCCTGCTGCCCTGATTCCAGCTGCCATGAGTCCATCTGCTGCCAGCCTTGCTGTCCTCCAAGTTGCAGCACACCCTGCTGCCAGTCCAGCAACAGCAGCAACAAAACTGTCAGCACTTGCTCAGAGGCCTCCAACCCACCAACCTGCTGTGAAAGCACCTGCTGCAAGACCAGCAGTTCCAAGCCAACTGGTATGAGCATCTGCTGCAACACACCTTGTTGCCAGCCCTGCTGCTGTGTGCCCACCTGCTGCCAGCCATGCTGCCAACCCTGCTCCTTAAAGATCAGCTGTCAACCCCCTTGCTGTGAAACCAGCTGCTGCAAGACAAGCAGTTCCAAGTCAAACTGTGTGAGCATCTGCTGCAGCACACCCTGCTGCCAGCCCTGCTGCTGTGTGCCCACCTGCTGCCAGCCATGCTTCTTCCAGCTGTGCTGCCAGCCAACGTGCTGTGAAACCAGCAGCTCCAAGACCACCTCTTTCAAACCAGCCTATGTGACCCTCAGCTGCTGCAATCCCTGCTGCCAGTCCTGCTGCTGATGAACACAAGGAGCATCTGCACAGCCATGCTCTGTGGAGAGCTGACCTGCCCTAGCTGCAGAAACCCACACCTAACATTTGCTGAACACCTTCAGATTCTCCCCAGGAAACCTGATAAATGCAAATTCTTACTTAGGTGTGTGAAATGCTGTGAGAAAGGATGGAGTCCCTCTCCCTCACTCTCCTCATCCCCAGAGATTATGGATCTTTTGCCATCTTCATGAGGGGCTGGTGTGAAGGTCTGGTATCAGATTAGGATCTGAGCCTAGATCTTCATATCTCTCATGAAATAACGTAAGAAAACACTACCCCCAAAAGGAAACTTGATTTCACCAGTTATCTTCTCAAATGTATTTTCTTCTGAGTTCCCTGCAGACTTTTGTGTACTACTTTCTTCTTTCTGTCACTTATGAGTTGTGCCCCAGAAGCAAAGAATTTAATAAAATCTGTGCTATCATCATTCCATATTGTCTTTCATATTATTTTGATAAATCACTTAATGAAAACTTTACATAACCAATAGAATTTAAAACACTAAACATGGTGCACATTGTCAGTGACACTAAGCATGGTATTAAACAATAGATCCATGGAAGGTTTATCTTTGGAATAATTGAAATTGAATATCCAATTATCACTATCTTCCTAGATCCTCCAACCTCAGTGCCCATAAACCAAGAGTCAGTTCCCTCCATTTCTTATTGACTTTCATAAACATCACATACTAATGACTTTTCTGTCATATTTTCTTTATCCATTTGCTTGTCAGTGGGCATCTAAGTTTCAACCACATCGTCTCAGTTGTTACTGGGATTACCATAAATCTGGGAGTGTCCATATCACTTAGGGGTTCTGATGACAACAGTGGCATTTGCTAGAATACAGCTGAAAATGAGATTGTCCTAGGAGTGAAATTAAGCAAACACAAAAGACAAACTATCAACCATGTGCTCACATTTGTCAACCCACGATTTTACACGGAAATTTTAAATCCTATAGATAGTAAGAAAGGGAGTGACTAGTCAGAGGAGGGGCTGTGGAAAAGCAAATATCATTAAAGTACTTGAGTATATGATATACTTGAAGGGACTTTCAGATTCCCTCACTACATTCGATAAATGGGAACAATAAAATAAAAGTTTTAAATAATAAGACTCTGATATCAATTAACCTGAGCAAATATCCTGAGACATGGCTGATGAGTTATAAGGTACAATTTTTTATTTTCTGAGGTGTCTTTGTAATGTTCAGCACACCTGCTAGTCTTCTTCATATTCCCCCTGCTGTGTGAGTGTCCCAGTCTCTGGGGCTACAAAGATGGTTCCATGTTAAGAGCACACAATGGTCTTGAGCAGCATCTGGGTTCAGTTCCCAGCATGCACAGAGCAGCTCACAACCACCTGTTATTATAGTCCCAAGGCATCTAATGTCTTCTTCTGACATCCCTGGGCATGTTGTGTACATACATGCATTCAAGTAAATCATGTATATACATAAAATAATAAATAAATTATTTAAGTCTTTAAAGTTTTAAGAAGCTAAATTTCTGCACACACTTGTAAACATCTTTCATCTCTTCTCTTTTCTGATACTAGACAGACAACATCACAACACTGCAAAAGAGACAAAAGGCAGAATGCTATGACATGTAAGTGCTCAAAA